TCGTCGCGATTCAAGTCCCCCGTCCTTCAAGCGGCTTGCTACATAACACCGCTCCACCCAAGATTAGATTAGATTGGTCCAGCGGGGTATTTAGCACCAGCTTGGTCCGCATTGACCCGACTTGTTCCTCCCTAGCTTTGTAGCTTCACACGAAGGCCCATGGTCTGGTAGTGAGAACCCCGCTCTCATGCTGCTTAGCCCCCCCCCCCCCCCCTGACGAACCAATTCCTTGGTGCGGACTTGGCTTCCAGGGTGAACAAGATGTTTGGCATCGGTGACCTGGTCTTCTCCGTAGGGGACGACTGCATCGCCGACTTCGTTTCGAGCATACAATTTCTTCCCGTGGTTCAGATGGTGAGTGAGTGAGAAGGAGGGAGGGAGGGCCGTGACGCCAAAAGGTGTTGGGTGTGCCGGTGATTAACGACCCTCTCCCGGCCCGAATGTGCCCTTGTTTTGTGTATCTCTCTTCAAGGGCCAGAGGCTAGAGGTTGACTGACTGTGCTTGCGTTTGTTTTGGGGTACTCAGAGGCCGATGGCAATCTACGGGATCGATGGAAACGTTATGCGCCATGGACACTAGAGCTATGCCGGTGCCCCCCCCGTCCGGCTCCGCGCACATGTCGTCAATCGTTATGGAAGAGGGTGTACACGTACATTCACCCTTTCTGCTCTTTCGGCCACTGACAAAACTGCCCGCTAAGCCCGCACTGTCATGTAAAACAAAAATGTTTCAAGGATTTACGACGACTCGTTGAACATGGTGAACTGTTGAACGCGGTGAAGTCATTGGTGCCCTTCGTTGTCAAACACTTGGGCGTAGTGTGTCTTTTGTCCCCTACCTCCCCTCTCTAGGTTTGTAGGGAATTTTGAAAGAAGGAATAGGGTTCAAGGATTACCTGCATGGACCAATGGATGCAGGGACAAAGCTTAAGGTCGAATTCAGGACCGAGGACATAGGCCTTTGAGGACGTCGACGAAGACATAGGACGGTAGACGACGAAGACGACAAGTTCGAATGTGAATGCGGCTTCGAATGCGAAGACCGTGTTCATGTAGTCGCGGAATGTCCGTGGTACGAAGAGGAGAGGGAAGAGTACATGACTGAGCTGGGAAAAATAGAAGGGAGGTACAGGGAGATGCTTAGGGCATGGAATAGAGAGGAGAGGACGGTAGCGGTACTGGGGAGTAGGAAGTGGTGTGAAAAGGCGGGAAGGGGATATCGTTAGGATAGACAAACTAGGGAAGACATTTTTGAGCCACCTTTGGCAAAGTAGGAAGGAACGATTGGCCATCGGTGATCGGTCCTGTGGGAACAATGCTCCGTCCTCTCGAGGACGCGTGGTCAATGGTCTAACCGCTAAGGCATGCAAAACATAAGAGTACGCCCCCCTCCCCTCTCCACCCCCCCCCCCAGGTGGTGTTTGCCATCGGGGTTTTGTTTTCGTCGCTTGGCAACGACGTCGTAAAACAAGCCTCCCCCTCGGTGTTAGCCATCGGGGTTGGGTTTTGTCGCTGGCAATGACGTTGAAAAACAAGCCGATAGCTTCGTGAGCTCGACAACCAGGTTACCGCTTTTTTTGTTTGCCTTTGTTTTTTTTTGCGGCAACCATAGTGGTGGTCGAGTATAGTATATTGTGCGGGGTCGAGGTTTCTCGCTCCACGCGAAGGGGGTTATCGCACCACGTTGTGTTAAATTGGTCAAGCACCGTGGAGGCAGTTACACAGTGCTCAGAGCTGTCTCTGGAAGTGAAAGCACCAGAAAATAAATTATGTCATTCGCAGCTGTCATCCGCACGCAAGAAAGCAAGCACAAGATGCCGAACACCCTTAGCAGGATGCAGCGCACCCTTCATGCGACTCGCCGTATACCTCACGGTGCTTCGCGCTTGGTGGCGTGAGAGCCTGGTCCGGTGAGGACCCGGCGTGTTCCGTCCCGGCTTTGTAGGGATGCGAGGTCAATGGTCTAACGACTACGGCATGCACGACTGGCTATGAGTTTGAGGACCCCCCCCCCCCCTCCTTCTCCCCTTTGTTGCAACGCTCTTTTTATCATAGTATATTGCGATGTGCCCCGATGGTGCGGAAGGCACGACCTACGCCATTTTGACGACCATGTCGAATGTGTCGTTGGCTGCGGCTTTCACCCTCGGGACCTTGTTCACCGGCATCTGGGACGTGAGCAACGAGGCTTTCGGGTGAGTCAAGGCCGAACGCTGGTCGTGTCGCCGTGGTTAGGGTTTGTCATTGTTTGCCTGACATCATCGGTGTTCTTAATGCGTGTTAGCTTTGTTTTTCCATCCGTATTGGACCCGATTCCTATGCCTAGTAGTTAACCCGAAAAATACCGAAAGAAAATGAAATGGCACAAAATCCTGTTCGTATGCATATATCTTGGCAGTTGTGTTGCGTGTCGCCCTCCCAAACAAGAGCACACAGTGCACAATGGCGTGAAGTAAATAAAGATCATGTAGAAGTACCGTACACTCAGGCCCACCACTGCGCCGCCCCTTTCCATGTGACAGATCTAATGTCCTCTCTCTCTGTCACGTTGTTCATGTGGGATCCACGTGATTCCCGCGCGTCGCTTGCCTATGTTTCATGGTCCACTTTATTGCTTTTTGGGGCTTTCCCGGCAGCCGCGGCGACTTCAGCGGTATGTGGAAGCTGACTCTCTTCACGAGCTTGATTCAGCCGCTGCCGCTGTTATTGATCAGGTGCGGCTTGAGATAACCTACAGACAAAGTGTCTTGAGCTGGGTGCCCACCGAAACTGTAGTGTCCAAGGTGCCGCTGCGGTCAAACTATTCACAATCCTTATGTAGCTCGAGTATTTCGTAGAACTTGGAAGGCTTGTGTCTCCAATGTTGGACACGGACTTGCGAACGACCCCCAACACTCGCGGGCCACTCACTCCCGTCAGGATCAAGCCCGATCGGCTTGCGTTGGAAGTGCAAGTGGTCTGCCATTTCCACAAGTCTGCAATCCCGAGTAGCCTGTGGCCCGAAATACAATAAAGTTTACTTGTAATGAAAATTGCGAAACGAGAACACGCTTCGAGAAAGAGGCGACCAATCAGATTTCCGGCTTTTGGCAAACGGGGCAGCAGATGCTTCCGTCACGGGCTAACAACAACAGTGTTGTTTTCTCCTGCTTTGTCGTTTTCATGTTCGAACCAGACGACTCCCGGCAAGCCAGTCGGAGCAGCAGGCCCTTCAGAAGACCGGCCTAAGGAACCGATATGGAGGTTATGTGCTACTCACTGTGCTGTTCGGGAGCCTGTTTGGGACGGTGGTGGTCTCGATCAAGAGTCTCAGCGCTTGAGCGACAGAACTGGACACGCAGACACAGTAGGGCGTGTCTGTCTTCCCTTATTTACCCGGGAAGGATATGGGTTTCCCAGGCAGTGGAACTGATGTTGCGGTGCCCCCTTTTTGACGGACGGGGGCACCTTTTGTGTAACCTGGTATAGATTTTATTTTTGTCAAATTTAGTACGTACACTCTTCTCTCTCTGTTCACGTTAATGAGTCGTATTTATGAGCGCATGCCGGAGCCTTGTTTCGAAGAGCTGGTGCTCGGTGTGCCGGACCTACCTGTTTATGACTTGGAAGGCGTGTGTGTGGGCCTGTTGGCGTTGCCAACGAGTACGTTTTAGGACGCTGCTGTGTTTTCATCTGGTTCACTCGAGGCATGCGCAGGAGCTTGGTGAAGGCAAAGGCATACCCTTAACGCCCCCGGCTTTGTCCTACTCCCTCAGAAATGATCAACGAAGCGTGTTGTATCCAGTTGGTCTCGGAGGCTTTTACTTTTGGGCCAGGAAGCAAGTCGGCCGGAAAAAGTCAATGTGTTCTCACGTGTGTTGTCACCATGGTGCTTGTGGTGCCTTTGCTTGCTTTGCTATGTTTGGTATGAAATGGGGACTGAAGAGATTGATGTTACCCTGTAAAGGGTTTCGCTCAGGAGTGTACGCTATGCCTGCGGTGTTTGCTTGGATGTATGACTTAAACGTCTCGTGACGTCGTTGTATGTGGGCGGGGGTACGATTTTTGCACAGCCATACCCCTCCCTCCCCTCACTGCCTTTGCAGCCATTCCTGGCAAGGCCGTCCGACCCTGGTTTTGGAGACAAAGCCAAGACTTAGCGTTTTGGTCATGAGTACAGGCACAAACGTTGGTCATGGGCTTTATTCGGCTTCAAAAATCTCTCTTTTCTCCCTGCCTCTCTTTCTCGTTATCTCTGTTTTCGTGTGGCCATTCCACCTACTACGTATGCTGGCTTACTCGCTTCGATTTGTGTGGGCCCACCAGCCTGGTCACACAGCAAGCCGGACACACGCAGGACTCTTTATCTTGAGGCGTATGCCTTCTTTTTTTTTTTCACTTTGGAGCACAAAGGAAGGGACACATGCAAGTGTTGACGGGCTGCGCTACAGCTATCGTCGGTACCAGTGTTTCTTAGCTGTCCGTTGTTGGCGCCGTGCCGCCCAAGTAACCTTGGCCGCTTGTGTTCGCATTGCAATCGCCAGCCAGCTCGTGGTTTTTTTTCGGACCTTTCCTGAGAAACTTGTACGTTCTCCTCCTCATGAATGTCTAGAGGGTGTATGCGAGGGGTTGTTCTTCGTGACCCCGACTTTCAACAACGATGCAGTTACCATTCTCCCGCTACGCGGGTCAGTTTGTTCCATCCACAACAAACTTAGCTTTATTCTTCCATTTCACACACTTGTGAGACTGCGTGGCTGCCTACGTCGCCCGATCAGTACGATGTCTCCCTCTAGGGTGTACCGTGTGCTTTGTCGTCTGTCGCGCTTTCGGGTGAGGTGGTACAGCATCTACAAGATGTAGAGTAGCGAAGCACGAGCGAAAATGTTGTGGACCAAGGTTGGATAGTTTAAGCGTTTTGGGTCTCGTTCGCCATAATTTCATCTTTCGCAAGACACAGAGAACCACGTGCACGTGGATCTCGCATTCTTGTCCACGGAGTGATCATCGGGAGGTGCTCATTACTCTACCCCATGACCCCAGACTCCGGGTGAACAGCACAAGCTTGGGACCGTCCTTGCCGGGTGACAGCTAGTGCCGGTTTCTTCCATCTACATCGTCCGACGATCTCCGCTAATCCTTTCGTGTCGTGCATGTGCGGTCTTTCTGGGATTATCTTCATGACCACGGTACAAATGCTTCATCGGCTTACTGTAGGAGGGACAGGGAGAAAAGGCTTCAACAAAAAGATCACGAAGGTTCAATCATAGATAGACCACCACAACACAAGCAGCCTAAACGCTTCCTTTGGTTGCCGACGAGCGCAGTACAGTGCACCGGAAACCACGGAACGCCGCCTACCGCGCTCCGCCCCTATAGCCTACACCGGCAGCGCAGGGACGGCCGGGGGGCGTCGGCTGATACCGAGCACCCTACCCTGATCCCGATCCCGTTTGCAATAGGTCGCGTACGACGCCGAAGATGCCGTTGTGACGGAATCGCACCTCCACGACCCCCGCCGGCTCTCCCCGCCCCACCGTCCCCCGCGGGCCAAAAAGGCAGACGTGACGTTGTCTGGCGGCACCGTGGGGGGCATCGGTAGCGCCGCCGTTGGTCTTGTCGCAGAAGAGGGTAGCATGGCCGGAGAGTTATTGGTGAGGCCGGAGATATCTGGGCATGACCCGCTCCTCGTGTTTCGGCCACTCTTTTCTCCCTTAGGGGTAAACAGACTGCTTGAAGTCGAGACACTTGCGTGGGAAGGCCGGCTTTGTCTGCTGTTGTGGTCACCACCTCTCCTTCTTCCATTTTCCGCGGCTACGTTAGCGTTGGCGCTGCTCTGCACAAGTCGGTCTAGCGCCTCTGCTTGTCGGCTCACGACCCCCTTCATCTCCAGCAGAATCCCTCGCTTTCGTTCCAAAAGCTGCCGCTCTCTACTGCCAGAGTTGCAACCGCCTTCCCCGGCCTTGCTGATCACCGGCGGAACACTCGACCCCGCTACAGGTCCCGCTCTCCTCGACCCAGCGCCGTTGGAGGCGAACATCCTCTTGTCCCCACCGCTGCTACTGATGCTGCTGCTGCGGCGGCGTCGCTGTTCATGTGCGTTGGGCCTGGCCGCCATTTGTTTTTCTTCGCGGACTACGTCGGTCATGAGGCGTGTGTGCGCCTTTGCCGCCTTTTGTCCGTCGATGTGTGAGTACACGTATTTCATGAAGCGCATCTGTGTAGCACGGGAAGGAGTGCGGCAGCAACGTGAACCAACGAGGATAAAAAGACGGTGCTTGTTGTCCGCAACCAGTCAGATGCCGCCGAAGTAGCAATGTCTTTTGACATGGATGGAGAAGAATTATCCACCACCTAGTCAGATCCATGCTTGCTTGATCTAGGAAGTGGGGAACTTTCTTCCTACTCACAGAGTCCCACACAGACAAAGCAAAGTATATCCCGACAAACAGAAGAAAGAAAACGGCATGCACTCCGTACAGCCAGCTTTGTTCCACTGAGAAAAATACCTGATCGAGAGAGATAAATTTTGAGTCGTCTTTCGGCTCTGCCGTCTCCACGTAAGCATTCGACTTGGTCGAAAAGATTCTTCTGACTCCCACGGAACCCTCCACCCCACCAGTGTTGACAGCACCACCGGCGTCGCCGCCGCCTTGGGAAGAAGCATTATCGCCTCTGGAAGCGGCTGCGCAAGGATCATCACGGCCCTGGCTGTTACGCCCCTGCAATGGTTGCTGCTCCTTCAGAAGGGCGGCTTCCACGGCATTCGCGTCTTGCACGAGCCCGGAGATGTGTGCCTGATCTTGCCGTCTCTCTGCGGTGAACCTGGTGCCAGACGAATTCAAAGTTGGGATGTGCATATGCGTTCCACATATTGTAAGGACTAAACAAGATTTCGCTGCGTAATTGCTCGTGCAATCTAGACACGTACTGCACGAATGGAATGCATATTTCCCCCCCGGAACCGGTGGAGGTTGGCCACGGTTTCGGACATTCGAAGTCGTTTCCACTCAAAGAGGTACGCCCCACGTCATCAAGCCTTGCCGTCTCGCTTAAGTTCTTCTACCAAAACAAATTGTACAAGAACGCCCCCAAGTGTTGTGAGTTGACCTCGGAGATATACTGATGGTGAGTAAGCCTTTCTTACAGTCAGACCCTCCCATCAATACTTTTGGCTCAATATAGGGTATCCACTATGGATTGACGCGGAATTTTGACCTTTGAGGATTGACGCCAACATAAAGTGACGGTTGAGGGTTTTGACGGGAAAAAATTCGCACCGCGTGTGCCCGTTGACACGTGAGAGGTGAAAAAAAAAAATGGTGGAGGTAGAGTTCAAGGTTGGTTCGGGCTGCCACCCAGGGTCGACATTCCGAAGCGAAGACTCACACCCCCAGGCTCCCAGGAGACTAGGTGTACCCCTTCGCCTCATCCCGCCGACCTTCCCTCCTTTGCCGCGGCGACTTTTCCCAGGCGTCAAACTGCGACTGCCCAGGCGTCAAACTGCCGTTCGTTGCTGATGAGTAAGGCAGCTGCTCGCTGCACTGCTGTGTATATACCGATGTCACTGCGGCAGCAGAGCACCGAACCCCGTGAGGGGGCGGGCGAAATGCACCTACTGACTGGCAAAGTCCGTGTACCCTCCCTTACTCCTCTCCATGTGCTGCCTTCGAGGGCGAGACTCCCCCAATCACTCCCCTGCCTATGCCCCTTTTTGCTGCTGAAAGCCCGTGCGCAATCGCGACGGCGCATCTACCGAACGCGCGCGCCGAACACGCGCGTCTGGCCACTTGGCCGCCGTGAGAACTGCCGAGACGCGTGGGTGCAGGACCGCTAGGAGCAATCAGTATAGGCATGGCCCATGTGTTCGCTGCTGACCGCGCACAGCAGACCGCAGCAGAGCAAGCGTGTGTGAGCCACAGTCTGGCGATGTTTGAAGCGTCAATCTTTTCGCGTCGTTTTAAGTTTGGGTGAAAATTAATTTTGACGCTTCCTCACAAAAATTTCGCCGTCAGAGTTTGCCCCCAAAAAAGCGGCGCAACCTCTTCACGTCAAAACTTCCTGAAATGTCAATCTTTCACGTCATTTCAACAACACGTGGATTCCCTCTAATTACGCGGCCGTCGGCATGCGTCACAAGAGGACGGTTCTTTGCAAAAGCTTTTGGGCCTTGATACGCTGGTTGATAAGCGAGGAAAACATCAGGTTGCTGCGAGCCCTGTTACTTGGGGAGGCTCAAAGCGGGGAAGATGTGTCGGGTGACTTTACAGTCGGCTGGGAACAGTCGCGTTGTTTCTAGTCCATGCCAAAGCTAATTCGGTGGAAGGGTGCTACTTATGTATGGGTTCGACGTATGTAGAGGTTTGGGTGCGTGTGTGCCTTCTGTAGATCATACCTAGGTAGGTAGCTATCTCGAGCACTTCACCTTTTCTGAAGGTAGGCCAGGTTGTCCTTGCTGGTGGCATGCCTCAGCTTTCGTTGTCGCGCAGCCTCCTGCTTCTCGGCCTCACGGACCACCTCGAGGATATGCTCCGCGTGCTTGAGCTTCAACGCTGCGATTTGAGGCGCCATGCTGTCCGGTACGTGCAGCAGATGGTGACTCGGAAGGAAGAAATGACCTCACGCTTGACACCCTATGAGGATGCTTGCGTTGTTCGGAGACACTCACACACAACCTCTTGGGGCCTGGGAGCATTTTCCAGGCGCCCATCGACACTCCTACACATTTGCGGCGAGATTGTTTACCCGCCACAAGCTCCCCGAACAGCAACAAACTGGAGGTTCTCTTTGGTTCGGGGGTTTCAAGCTCTCTCTGCTCCTGGATACAGTTGTATGTACACGCGTCACACTACACACATCGGCTTCTGTGTGACAACGCCATTTTTGCTGGAACAACTACACAGAGTCTCTACACCGTAATGTGAGCTGTATGTTCGCAATGTTTCCCAATGTCTCCGGCTTTTTGATAACATGGGTCGTATCCTGGTCGCCCAAACCAGGTCGGTGTGTCACACGGAAGGATGTGTGGTTGGATGCGTTGGATGCGTACAGATTCCCGATGCACGCTGTGTTTCCCACGCAATCTGACTCCACAGCAATATTGAGGCTTCGTATGATTTCCACTTCTTGACGAGGTATTATCACGTCGAGTACGCGTCTTTCGGAACACCAAGAGTTTCCCCAGCATGTATGTACAGCTGTCGCACGTGTATGTAGGCTTTGGGCGTATATACTGTGGGAAGAACCGCTGTGAGTGCTGGATTCAGCATAGAATCTCTCCATCGTGCAATGCAAAGGCACTTCGCTTCCTTGGACCTTACACGAAGAAACAGCTTCCGGTGTGACCTTCAATACCTAGCAAGACCTGGACGATCCTACCCTGCACACATCCTCGTGTACCCAAGACCTCTGATCGCGGAAACAACACCGCGCTTGTTTTCGACGTACTGCTGTACAGTAGGGGCGCTGATGATGATGCGGGGTCACGACAACCTATCGGTCAACGACCAAATGGAAGACCTACGTGAGCGCATGCGCCTTCTACAAGGAGACCGCAAGGTAGGATTGTAAGGGGGGCCAATCGGCCTAGCCTGTACTTATGGTATACATATGATCAACAGCAGGTTCCCCCCGACGTCGTCCTCTCCTCACGTGGTCACATGCATTTTTTCTATTTGGCCTTTTTCCAGTCTTATGTCCGACGCCCAGTAAATATCAGCCAGCATTCCCTTGCGTGATGTGTGGTGTCGACCTCACCTAGAGTAACTTCAACACTTCGTAGTCTTCCTCTCGTAGCTCGGCGCTGTATCCCTCTCTCAGCAGGAGTTTGTCTCAGAAGCTGTTTAACTACCGTCGTCGATGTCCGCTCTGCTTGTTGCAAGCTAGGCAAATATCGACATTTTGGAGGCGAACAAAGGCTCCAACAAGGAGGAGATCCGGCGCCTAAGGGCTGAAAACAAGGATGTTCGGCTGAAGTTGTCCCAGTTGGTCAGGGGAGGGGCTAACGGAGATGAGGTACGCTAATTTTGCTAAATCAACGACACGGTGAAAGGGGGTTATCTCTCTCGCTCTAGATAATCTACCCTCCGGAAATTCTCCCCATCTTTTCACGGCGTCGACGTTGGTTTCTTGTGCTGCGTTGCTCATGTCGAAGGAGAACGCACGTAAAGACATCTCTGCACCTTAGCGACGCGGACTACAGGCAAGAAACGTTCGTTTCGATGCCTCAGTCAGGTGTTCATGCCTTGAAAAGTGGCGTTAGGCACTCTATCCGAGCTGCCTGTTCCCGCCCTTCGATGCCCCCGCAGAACCCTTTGGTTCACTCAGATCTTTTGCCAACTTTAGCAACCAATAACTTTCCTCGAGGGGGGGGGTTACGTGAGATATAGCTCGAGAAGAAACTATTCAAAAGTCCAGAACATGCTGAACCATTGCACGGCTGCGGCCTGTGCGCAGGTGGCAGAACTGGACCGTCTCCAAAGAGAAGTCCACCGTCTTCGAAAAGTCTACAACGACTCCAAGAGCCGGTGAGACGTAGTATATCAACAGTAGGTAATCCTTTCGCGGACCCAGCTTACAGGGATCGGATGCCACCCCATTCTAAAACGTCTCTACAGTAGCACCTGGTGCAGTGAGACGAAGGCATGATATTTCAGATTCAGGATACAAAGATAGACCCGAGGAAACCTGGTCCCCCAATTTCGCGCCAATGGCCAAGCGTCTGGATAATAGGCACCGGCTATTGCAGCAACAACGTTGATTGGTACTCCCCCTGAAGGCTCGGCATTGGTGTGGTTCTCGTGCTGCCACGAAACGCCAGGTCATCGGCGGTTAGAAAAGGGTTGCAGCAGCTTAAGGACGAGGTGAAAGATCTTGAGCTGGAATCACAACAGGTGAGCCAAACAAGTTCCCTGTTGGACAGACTACTATTACCTTAGCTTTCGAGTGACGCACAGTTCTTCCATATTCCAACAATATTGTTGCCGTGGACAATTTCCTGCAAAATCTTGCGTCGACCTTGGAACGTGTGTGTGAGACGAGTTCACATTCCACCCAAGTCAACTTCGCTTGGTGTCCATTTTTCTGTGTCTGGTGGTTAACCAGGAAGACTCGCTGTCGAACATTATCACCCTTCACGCCGCTTGGAGAGCTATTTTTGCTCTTAAGGATCCTTTCAACCCGCTCGATTCTTCGTTTCAATATCGTTTTTTCCAAAAACAAGCATGAAAGATCAACAGGGTCCTTCGGCAATATTCTTCACGCTGACCAGCTTCCTGTATAGCCGGGGGTCTCTCCCCGCTCGGTTTCGGCACCAGAACTACTCCCCATGTCTGGTCGTCGAGCCAGCACGAGAAACACGGGTCCGTATTAAACATGTCGCTTGCTTTGAGGAATACGCAACGTCCTGTTCCCGTTGTTCTGCCTTCTGGTTGTTCTGCAGCCGAACCGAGAAGATTCCCCGTTGACGCGGAAGATCCGGATGCTCGAGAACCGGCTCGACAAGGCCATGATCAAGTACAACGAGGCGCAGAGCATCCGCAAGACGTACGAACAGATAGTTAAAAGACTCAAGGTAGGTCCGACGCATCTGTTGAGATTTTGGGATATATATTCTGATCATGGTACAACGTGAACAAGGAAAGTTGACTATTGAAGCAGTTCATCAGGTTTCGTTTGGACTGGTGCGGACGACTCCAACAGGATGTACCGTATCCATTAGGCGAACGAGTAGCACAACCAGAGGCGAAGGTTTTACATATGTTGCGTCCCCAAAACTGAAACTAAAAAATACCCAAAACAAAACACAAACAATACACCAAAATCATAAATCACAACGAACTTCTGTGCGAATCACAGCAGCATACTTATCAACGACGACTATTTTCAGTATATTGCTCTTTTTACCTTGAATGTGTGCATCTAGGTGTTGTGTTTATTCGTTCAGGTCCAGTCACAAGGTAGAGCCGTCCCTACGAACTATTCTCACCTCGTTACCCTACCACCACACCGGCACCCTGGGTGCGTGACTACAGCACGCGGAGCCTCCAACAAGAAACAACAATCCCTCCTTTCGGCTGAAACCCGTGTCTTTTGGTTCCTCTTGAGAGCACTGATCGATAGCGGTTAAAGTGTTCTAGTCCTGTACAGCAGGACCACAGTGACTTCGATAATCCAGATGCTGCCTAGAAACACTCGCAATGTTCCCCCCAACGCGGCCGTGTCGATACGCTCTTGTACAGGAGGAGCGAGTAGGCTTCGACAACCAACTTGGCGCCGTGGAACGTACCCTCCAAGCCAAAATCAAAGACTACGAGGAGCTGCTGCTGCTGTCAGGCGACGCCAATCACGCTCGAGAGGTACGCGGCTATACCGTTCACCGACGGTATTTTTGGGATACGAACACAGCAGCAGTGACTAAATCGAAAATGAGGATTCCGAAGTCCCTTCGGCGAGCTGATGCGAAAAATGGTCAGATATATTCAACACTATTTCGTTGTTGCACCTACCACTAGCAGAACACGTCGCCGTGCCGACACTGGAGCACATCGATGTAAAGAAGCCGCCACGGGGGAAATGTTCCGTTATCATAGTGCGATTCGTCATCCAGGGGTGAAAATATTCGCAGATCGTTGACACGACTCAGCCATGCCCGATGTCCTTACTGCTAACGATTCGTCAACGCCGATTGGTGTCTTTGATGTTTTGGCTCGGGGTTTTTGGCAAAGGTGGCTCAATCAGAATTAGACCGCCTTCGGACGGATTACGAGGAGGAGAGAAGAAGGAGAGAGAGCGAGCTTCGAGAGAGACACCAGGTGGTGCAGCTCAGAAAACAGATCAAGCTACAGGCCGACAGGTGAACATCCTCCCGATTTACCCCGACTGTCGTGTTGCCAAAGTTTCAGTATGGAAGCATGGGTGACCCATGAGTTGCATGAAGCTCTAACCAGTAGGTGCCGGCGTGAGACTTTCAAGGGCAGTCGGTGGTGGTGGAAGCATGAGTGCACACGAGTTCAAACACTGGAATCACAGGCAATGCACTCTGGAACAAGGACCTAAATCGAGGGGGGTCTTCAAGGATTTGGTGTCGTATAAGTAAAGCCTATAGATAAGATGTAATGTAGGATATGTTGTGGTCATTTTAAAAACCGATAGACCTTTGGGTCAGGTTAAGGTGCGGGCGTCGCGTAGGGCTCATCATGTTGAAGCGAAGGCTCAAGCTCGTTCGTTCCACTGGCAACACGCGTCACGTATTGCTGGAGGTCAGGCGGGCGCAGATGAGGGCGGGGCTAACGGCGGCGAACAACGACAGCGAAACGGGGGAGGCCGGAGAGCAGGGTCTCAAGAAGGTGAGTTACCGCCACTCCCTCAGCGCAAGAAAGGGGCGCAATTACTTGGCGGGTAGGAGCTGGGGGGGGGCAGGGGCGAAGTGGTTGTCTCAGCCGTAACCATAAAGACGTACGGCCAGCAAACGGCAAACAATCACGCGCGGGGGTGGAGATATTCAGGGCCACATTGCTTCTGTGGCTTGGACTAGTGTGGGTGATACTGGCTATGGTGCACACTGGGCTGGCATCGTACAAAAGCATCACGGGTACGATTTGATGCTAGATTGGGGCGCTCCCAAAGCGACCGTCTGCTGTCTACGGATATTCCTCGAGACCGGTGTGATCACACCAAACAAGAAACTGGTATTGTATTCATGCTACACAGGAACGTCTTTAATATAGGTTGTCTCGAGGAACAGAACCAGGGGTGCTGTGCGCCGACCGTGGAACACCTTGAGAACGCCACCGTTTCGGTCAGCTTTTTGCTGTCGAACATTATCTTGTGCATGACCCAGGAAACAAAGAAAATTGTTAGTTGTTCCTTCTAGCACACTCGAAGAACACTTCAAAACATTGCAGCAAAGCAAGAAGCGACTGCCGCCCGAAACGGGCCAACCACGTACTTCTTTCTAATCATGTTTGAGCTGCAGCCGGATCGCAAACACCCTACATATTATCTCGTCCTCGGGGAGGTTCCTACAACGTATTGCTTTCCAGCGTGCCCTATTGAAACAACCATTGCGTTACAAAGGGGTTCAACAAACGATGGTTGTTTTATTATGTCACTTCAACAAACGTGGGCCTTTTTTAGGCGGCTGCCGCGAACGCGAACACGACCGCGAAGATGGTAATGGACCGCGTGAGCCACAAGAGCAAGATTGACGTCTTCGAGAACGCTTTCAGGAAGATCAAAGAGGTGCGTGGAACGTGTGCTATGTGACAAAACAGCCCGGAAGCAGACACCAATGACGCCAAAACGCGAAACCTTAAGACCAGCAGGCGATGGTGGGCCGTTCTTGACTGGTCGCGCAGGATGATGGGGGTATGCTGGACCGTACATTTCAGCCCTGTTTCACGTACACCACCTACTGTAGACACTACGTGGTAGATAGGGTTAAAGGTTAAAGGTTCGTTGGTGATTGCTTGGAGACGACGGCAAGTGACGTAATACGTACTAAGTAGGACGCGGTAGGGGCTTGGATTTCCACAAAGAGGAAGGAGACGGTTTCATCGGACTTATTATTCCCCCGTTTCCCTGGTAGCAACCACCACAGTCATAAAGTTGAGGGCGACGACAAGGTTACGGTTGTCACGGCCACGAGAGCAGGCAACATGAGCAGACACGCAATACACCTCGGCACCGTCCCGTTGCTCCGGTGCCGTTTTCGTGTCCGCAGGCGACGGGCGTGTCCGATGTGAACGAGGTGATCCAGAAGATGATCAGTCAGGAGAGCACGGCAGAAAGCCTCATGATACTAACGAAAGAGAACCAGGTAGGCCGACGGCAAGCTTCTCCTTGTTCTATAATAGCTAGGTGCCTGTCTGCCGGTGGTTTCGGTGAACCCGGTTCTGTCTCATCTGCAAAGTGGCACCGCAGAATCAAGATACGGTACACCGTTTCCATGTTTCGTCAAGAGAATGGCTCCGCAAACGCCGTTCAGTGACAGAAAAAAACGGAGTCGGCTACCGACGCCTCCGTGACGAATCTCTTGACTGGCACTTGATCGGTCCATGATCTGTTGAATGTCCGTGTAAGCCATCGACTCGTGCACGCGCTTGCAGCATGCTTACGGTCGAGGTCACAGCCACCAGGATATTATTACCCTCGGCTGAATGGGGTGTCACCAGGCTAGGCAAGGGTTGAGAATTATTTTACGAATGGTGCCGAAATACCGAAATGTCCTCAGACGTTTTGACTGGCTGTGACGTTTTTCTGACCCAGGCAAGGATCGAGGGGTTAAACAAGCGCAAGTCGTCTCTCAAGGCGGCGGTGGAAGAGGTGAAATACTCCGGTCCTGGAGAGGGGCACCGTCGAAAGGTAACCAAAACGAGGGCATACCTATGGTTAGGGCAATAACACGAGCGATCATTGTTAAAGGCTACCATGTCAACATCTCTCGTGCTCTCTTGCTTGGCATTGGTTGGTGGCGAGGATGTCGCATTGCGGTGCAAAATCGACAGCAAAGAGGCACCACAGTACGCCCCAAAGCCTAGAAAGCTCCCGCGGCAAGGCAATGCATGGCTGCCAACTTCGAAGCCCTGGTGGAAGGTATCATGTACTCGATGCCCGCCTGATGAAGATGAGAACTTTATCGCCAGAGGCCCCTCTGCAGCATTGTGTCGCTAAAGGCCTCTCTGCAGCACGACCGAGACCTGAGTTTACCTCACGTACCGCGGTCGTCACCCGTGTTCCTGGTGGCCGTTTTCTTGCTCTGCAGATGGTCGATGACCACGAGGAGCTACTGTCGAACAGCGTGGCCAGGCTCGAGAGAGTGCGGCACAAGCACGAGCGCCTGTCGAAGATTCTCATCAGCGTCAAGGCGGGGGTAGAGCACCTGCAGGACAAGCTCAAGAGCACTGCTACCGAGGTGTGCCTTCGCCCTCGTCCGTCCCCTACGCGCGGGACGTTGAAACGCGGTTCGACGCGGCGCGTGATTGCACACACGCGCATGTCTTCTCCCCGAGCAAAACATCAGCACCCCGTGCACCATGCAGAGTTTCGGTAGTATTCTCAAAACGTTAGTCAGGCCGCGGGACGTTTACTCTGGAGTCTTAAGTGACACAATTGGTCTTGGCCCCAAGAATGTGACATCATGTCCGCGGCAGGCCAGCCGGTGGCCAAGTCTAGTACTAAGAACGCTGCACCACCTGGCGACCTACCCACCTGGTAATATTTTTCACCCTTGGCGTGTTTCTTACTTTCTCGGTGGGGTAGCCAATATCGATTGTGCAGGTCGTAGGATAGGATTCTTATCTGAGAGCACCTGTTCTTGAGTAGTCAAGTTCTTATGTTTCTATTTCGGTGGGCCCAAACTCTCAATTCGCAGGTTCGTATGGTGGTACGTCCTGCATCGCCCATGGTCTGACCGCTCTTCTTCCCGTGGACCCGACTTTGTGCCCATTTGCTCCTTTCGGCAACGGCTTGTTGTCGACGAGACTGCACACGAGGAAATACCTCGAGACGAAACCCAGTGTCAACAGTTCTTGGCGTTTATTGCTGAAAAATTGTTTCCCCCCTAATACCCCCTATTTCTGCTGCCCCGTCGTCTCCTTTCTTGTTTGTTTCCGGCGTATCGGTCTGGCGGGCGGGATTTGCGGGGAAACATGTGACTTCTGAAGGTTGGGGTCGAGCCTATGGTTATGACCGACGAAACCGTGGTGGACGTGCTGGAGGTCGCCGAAAAGGTGCTGGTGGAGGTTAGCGAGAGAGTCAAGGTGAGAGACTTCAAGCTGACTGAGGACTTGGATCTTTCGTGATGCTGGTGTGGCGTCATCATCGCCGTTGCCGCTGTTGTTGATGCCCTTGTGGTGGCCGAGTTGACGGTGTACCCATACCTACTGTTTTCATGAAAACAACGTTATGC